GCAGCTCCATCGACCCCGCAGGGGAGAGCCCTCGGCCTCGACGGCCTCCGTGGGGATCGCGTGGGGACGGCCTCGCGGCCACCTGCACCACGCCTGCAGCGGCCCCGTCGCCCAGCTCCCGCTCGAGCGATGCGAGGCCGCCAACGCTGACCACCTCCTGCACCTCGCTCGACTGGGACTCCGCCGGCCCGGAATCTGTCGGCAACAGCCCGATGGGATCCATCCGCCGCCTCCGCCTCCGTGCCCTCCGTCGCGGCGCCGCCCACCCTGGAGAAGACGCCGTGGTGCACGCAGCTCCCCTGCCCGTGGGGCGCCTCTGCGGCGGCAGCGGCTGGCCAAGGGCCTGGAGGCGCCGGCCCTGAGCTCCTCCTCCTTTTCCTCCGCCCCCTCCTCCTTTTCCTCCTCCTCCTCCTCCTCTTCCTCCCCGTCCTCCTCCGCCTCCGCCTCCTCCTCCTCGGCCTCACCCTCCTCCTCCTCCTCCTCCTTCTCCTCCTCCTCCATTCCTTCTCCTTATAGACAACTTTTCCCTGTCGCACCCCGAGGCCAGTTTTCAGCGCGGGCCGGGCGTTTCGCTGGAAACTTCCTCACTATTTGTCATTCGTTTAAAAAGTGACAGCAGTTTCACAGATAGAGGGCGGGTCGTTTTCAAAATGTGGCTCTCGCCCTAGCGCCGCGCACGTTCGCCTTGAAAATTTGCAAGAGTTTCACGGATTGAGGGCGGGTGGTTTTCAAAATGTGGCTCTCGCCTTAGCGCCGCGCACATTCGTTTTGAACATTTGCAAAAGTTTCACGGATTGAGGGCGGGTGGTTTGCAAAATGCGGCTCTAGCGCCGCGCGCATTCGTTTTGAACGTTTCCAGAAGTTTCACGGATTGAGGGCGGGTGGTTTTCAAAATGTGTCTCTCGCCTTAGCGCCGCGCACATTCGTTTTGAACATTTGCAAGAGTTCACGGGTTCCCATGATGATCAACGTACCAGCAATGGTGTTTAGAAAGGATTCAGTATTATGCGGGCGCAGAAGTTATGTTGATTCGTTGTGTTGAAGTCCCCCAAATGGCGTTCTGGCACGATTCTGGATCGCCAAGACGCAGCAGTCAGGTTGATACGTGGCGTCGAAATCCCGAGAACAATGTTTTGGCACGCTTCAGGATCTTCGAAGTGCTGTCTTCCAACGTGGCAGTTCCCTCAATGGAAATGAACTCTTGTAGGGGCCTGCGAAGAGGGAGCTTGCACGGAGGGTTTCCTTCCGACATCGTTGATGACTCTTGGGTTTCTACTGGTCCTCCTCCTCCTCCTCGCCCTCCTCGCCCTCCCCCCCCCCTGCGGCGACACCACCCGCCACGTCGGGGCCCGCAATGCGCCGCGAGCCCGCGCCCAGCCCGGCGCCCCGTGCGCGCCGCCCGGCCCGCTGCCCAGGCGCCCCGCGAGGCGGGGCGCCACGCCGGCCAGGGGCGTCTCCCCCGCCCCCGGAGGGCCTTGGCGCGGGAGGCCCGGCGCGCCCGAGCTCCGGAGGCGCCGCCCCTCGGCACGCGGGGCCGGCTCCAGGGGCGGCCTCGAGGGAGCCCGCGGGGCTGCCCTGTGCTCTCTCCCCCCAGAGGTCCAACGCAGGGAGCCGCGGGGCTGCGAGGGAACCGCGGGGCTGCCCGTGCCATCTCTCCTCCCAGAGGTCCAGCGCGTTGGAAAAATCAAGACGGAGGTTTGCCTCAGCTCTCGGCCTCTGGGGGCCCTCGCCGGGCCCCAGGGCCGTCAAGAAACGACTCCGGGTGGAAAACTGGTCCCCGGGAAGGGGTCGAGAGTTCCAGGGACCCCGTATTGAAAAAATCGCGACGTCGGATCTGCGGGTCTCCGCCGGCCACGCGCAGGAGGGGGGGTAGGGGGGAGGGGGGAAGGCTTCTCAGGAGCACCCCTGCTTTCTACCAGGAGGCGCGGGCCTTCTCTACACATGGCCGGCGCCTTCTCAGAAGCAGCCCCCCTCTAGGGAGCCTTCCCCCTTCCCCTCCCTACCCCCCCCTCTGCGCGCCGCCAGCTACGGGTTTCTTGGTACGCGTGGGTCGGGCAGCGGCGGACTGTCCTGGTGTGCCCAGAGGCCTGCCAGTAGATGTTCAGAGACATTTTTCTGTGGTCTGCACGAGGTGTTCTCAGGGCATTTCTGGCCGAGGCTGTCTTGTTTCAATCCATCGGGTATCTGTTCTGAGCACACGAACATTTTTTGGGTTCTAAGAACATGTCGTGGTAGGCCTACAGGAATGCCGGGACGGTCGGTCCCTGCTCAAGTGGGGGGGTACCCCCCCCGACGGGGGTCAACCTCGCCTCGTCGTCGCGCCGCGCTGGGGGTCAGCGCGCCTTCGGCGCGCGGTGGCTACCCGCGACGGGGGTCGTTGTGGGGCTGTCGGCGGGGGTGACACCCCCCGACGCTTATTAAGAAATTCGGGGTATCCGTCTTCGGCCCCGCCCTGCGTTTTCAGCAAGCGTTGGACCGCCTGGCCGGCAGTCTGAGGCGC